TGACTTCTTATATGGCCTTCCCTCTCAGTGTCGCTACTGGATCAACCATGCCTTAAGCACTCTTCATAACTTTGAACTTCCGGCCATTGGAGTAGACGCCCGCTTCAGAAACTGTGTTGCAAAAGGAAGCCGTCAGATTTCTGTATTACTCACCAGGGCAATATCCTCTGCGTACTCCAGATTAGCAGGACATCTAGCCAGATACTTTGAACTGCGCTTTTCATCTGGAATGAGACCTTCCGCTTTGCCAAAGGCGGCACTGTTTTGGAGAAGAAAGTCAGAAGCAATTTCGAATAGCAAAGTTGAAGGCAGGTCTTCCTTGTGAACTCTATCGCTAACAGGGAACTGTTCAATGAGTTCTTCTATGACTTTGATAGCATACGCTGTTCGTGCATACATATTTTCCAAAATGAAAACGATTGAGTCATGGCATTTTATGATTCCGAATATCGTTGATTACGTATTGATACAAATTTGGCTTTGAATTGAGATAACTGGCAAATCAAAGCAGCTGAAAACGCTGGCATTGCTCAATTATCCCCTGAAATATTGTCAGGGCAGAATTGCATTGATCATGGCAATAAATCGCGATCACGAGGTTAAGTATTACGAATGTGTCAACATTCTAGAACTTCACGCGTTGAAACCACCAACATGAAGAAATCCATCAGAAGAGTACTTTAAGAGAATCAGAAAAATCCTTAAAAGCGATCTATGAGTAAAGAACATGACTGATCTGCTAATCAATACTTGGTATAACAGCTCATGTAGACTGAACGCAAAGGGGAAGACAACGTCTTGTAGTCAGACAAAAGAAAAAATAAGCAATTGTGAGCTCCTATATGTGGGAACAAATGTGTGGGGGGGGGAATTTATGCTCTTCGTAAACAAGATGAATGAACGTTCACAGAGTCAAAAATATAATTGAATTCAAGAAGGGATCTCTAAAAATACCTGATACTTTACGCCTCGTGTCTTCACCAACTTAGTAAAGACATAGATATCCTCTGGGCCTCGAACTCACTATCTAGCAGCTCTCTACAGGGCTAAATCGAAACCCTGACAATCGCTTCTCAAGGTCCAAAGCCGAATACGATTTTCTACAAAGTAAAGATTATATACTCCTTAGAATACGGTGTACTGCATGTCAAGCAAGAAAGCTCTTTTCGGTTACCTGACAATCGCTAATGGCTTTTACGAAGAAATTTACAACAGCGTGCAGCAAGAGTTGACAAGCTTTTGTAGGAACTGGACAGTAGATAGAAGCATTAGTCACAAGAAATCAAGGAAAGGATATAAAACATTCTGAAACTTCCCAGTATGAAAACGGAAAGTAAAGTTAGTAAACTATGATATGTCGGTCTTTACATTTTCTTGGTGGGACGATGCTGGTGCCATTCTTTTCTTGAAGTTAATGATTGGACGCCAATCTCTATTTCCAGGCTATCAGCCAACAGTGCCTTATTTCTAAGGGCACAGCCGACAGCACCTATAGGACAAACATAGCGTGAGTCTCCTGTTTCCCATCCATCAGATGACCCTGATTTATCAACCTCAGAAAGAAGAAAGACGAGCAAGAGTCACCTTGAAAGGGGACTCAAATCTGTGACCTCTCGATTCTACGTCTGACTTCTCTTTATGAGCGACTATGGTATGAATCAACGTGTGATAAATTCACTGCTCAAAGTTACGTGGCTGACGCTGCCGATCTTCAATTCAAATATCCCGCCTGTTTTGAACATCCAACTATAAATGAAAAATATTTTTATTCCAATTGTTAACGTTTAAACATGCTCTATATTTGAAAAGTAATCTGCTGCCTTACTCACGTCACTAAAATCAGTGATTGTCATAAGTTGCTGCCGTTCAGCGTTGCTAAAATCAAGTTTCAGGTGTTGTCCCACATTTTCCAATAATCGCGTAATTACGAGAGTGCAAATGTGAGGTTTATTTGAAATTTCGTTTTGAAGTGGCAATTCGCCAACCTGTTTCACGCCATATTGGAGGTAATTGAAACACGAAGCCGGAATCAGTGTTTGGCCAACGCTCAGCGAATGATTTTCCGTGGAGTTTTAATAACCTTATGAGTAAACTTCCTGTTGCAAACTATGTCATTTTCAGGCCGACTTATGTCGTGATGATATCGCTTTGTGAATGAGCACAAAATGCGTCACTCATATCATACCTTAACCTTTACCGGGTCCGCTGACGTTGGATGACACTGCTGTGAGCTTTTGCAGCAGCCACCAAGGCACTGTGCGATGTCAATGCATGCCGGAAAGTAGTACACGCCAGGCTGCTTGACGATCGGCAGCGAAACGCACACGGACACGATTTTACACGAGTCCTCTGACTGCACCGGCTCGTATATGGTTTCCACGAATGGCTCGTCTCCGCCGCCACCACTCCTGTAACGCTTGACATCATTTCTGTCGCTACCAACGCCTACAGAAATAAAGAAATAAAGAGTAACGATACGTCTCCGCTGGCTGAGTTACGTAATACAGACAGAGTCCTCACTGCGCTTGTCGAACAGACGTACTAAAGTTGGGTGCAAGTCATAAGGGACTAAAGTGAAACAGCAACTTGCATCATGCTCTTGGCTCAGATCCGAACATACTCAGGCATACCATAAATGCCTCAGTAGCGGCAAATACTAGGGATTTTGGATTTTCTAGATATTATGCTAAAGCGCATAATATTAGGTACGACAAAATAACGTACATGGTTAGATTAATAGGCCGGATTAAATTCAATCTAAAATCTTTCACTCCTTGACTCTAGATGCTAATGCCTGATTCCTACGTGATAGGTTGCAAGTAGTTCTGACAGAGAACCATAGTGGTGGCAATTTTAGTAGAATTCTTGGTTTTGATAAAGAGCAATCAGACATACTGCAGTAACTATCAGAGGGTGTCTCTGCTCAGTCTTTCCCATGTAGAGCTTATCGAAATGACTTAAAAATAAATTCAAAGAATTTGATCGAGTGCATGGTTTGTCTGTATTCTGCATTAAGCATATAAAAATGCTAGGATGGAGCAAAACGAGTTTATGTTTCGTCTATGGATCATTAGCTGGCTTAAGTCAGAACGCATCCCCATAAATCTCATTGGCTGTTGCAGGAATATGGTATTAACCGCCAGCCACATGGAATCATCAAACCATTGTGGGACTGGTCAGATCAATAAGAATAGTCCAAGGAGCTGTCAGCTGATGATTTCAGACGTCTGGCGTTTTCTGCTCCATGCTCTGATGAAAATGCGTGCAACAAACCTTCATTTCATGAGGACACTGAAATGCACACATAATTATAACACAGTTTAACATTCATGTGTCGAGTGAATCCTCGTTTCTTGAACTCGGTTCGATAATAGTGCCGAAGCAAGGTCAGACCTCGCGAAACGCGTCTACAGGTTGTAGGTAGTGAAACAACCCTCAAATATGAGGGTGAGCTGCGAAATAAGCAGATAGTCAGGGGGGATAAGTAGTCGCAGACAAGTGACGACAGTGCTACGAGGCGCAGCAAACCAACTTCCGGCAAAGTTGGCCCTGGATACTATCGCAAGTCCCGATGACAGAACGTTGACATGGCAAGTACAAGCCGCTATCAAATAAGCATCCTGCTAACCCCAACGAACCGTAGTCGGTTCCCAGCACG